TTTAGCTTATGTGGTAATGATGTTGTTAAATGTATTTAAGAAGCCATAACCTACTTTGGAACTCAGGTGTAGTCCAAAGAGTTGGGAAATATTATATAAGCGTATTGGTTGTTTCCTTCACAGCATATCTGACCCCAGGTGGTCAGATCGAATAGAGAGTTTAAAACCATTTGGAGCTCATCTTCCAGGAATAAAGCTGGCTTTTTTAGACTTGCTCCAGCTAAATCTAACTACAAGAACTAAAAATAAGATTCGTGTAGCACAGAATATTAATTCCAATTGACATTTGCAGCAAAGTTATTCAAATCAGTAATGCAATTTTAGAGATGGAGGTTTTAACTATAGAAAGCTTACTTTCATAATTAGTAGCTATTCGTGACTGTTGGAAAGCAATGTTGAATAAAGCTAAGCATGTTGCATCTAGCCTTGATATAGAAATAAAATTGTTTAAGAACGATAGCAGAAAACAATTTCATAATAAAAATGTGAGTAAAATGAGTGAGGCAGAAGAATCAAAGTGAAAGCAAATTTTTTATGTAATATTGGATAATATTTTTGTAGAACTTACAGTTCTTTGTAGCGCCGTAAAACAGATCTCTTCAGAAACCTTCAGCTTTCTTTGGAACTACCAAAAAATGACGGAGGAGGAATTAATACATGAAGCAGCTAGTTTTGTAAAGAAATTTCACTGTTGGTTTGGTTAACAGAACATTAAGACTGTCCGAATGATGGTTTGCTGTAGATGACTGATATGTACTTTTTTATTTACTCTCTTTCATTTTATCTATGGATCTTGTGCTTATTTCATAGATTATTCTGGTCATATTTAAAATATCTGGAAAATTTTTTTATTATAATATCCGGAAAAAATCCGGAAAAATATTTTTAAGACATATCCGGAAAAATCTGGGAATAAAAACGTTTTTTTGTGTATTTAAGAATATCTCATGTGCTTAAAAAGAAAATTTTTGGCAGGTATTCTTCCATATTGAAGAAAAATATTTTAATACTTACTTAAATAGTTTATAAATTAAATTAAACTAGATTTTTAGGTGAAATAGTTAAAAATAATTATACTGATCTCTAAGTGCTGAGTGTTTACATATCTTAAATAATCCTTAAAAAATAAGTTTCATAGTATTAAACATTCCATTTTGTAAAAAAAATATTTGATTTTTTTTACATAAATACTGCAGAAATATATGGCAAAACAATAAATGCTTTTTTATTAATTTCTCAGTAAATAAATTGATTTAATATTTTAATTAACACAAAACTTATTTTATAATTTAAATGCTTACATAATTTTTTGAATAGGGAGGGTGAACAAAAAGCAATTGCTTTTACTTTTAATTGCGTTTTTCAAGTAATTGTTGAAGCTTTACGCAAATTTTTAGCGATTTTGCTCACGTATTTTTATTCACGTAAAGCTGAGCAATTACAATAATTTGTCACTTGGGAATCCCTTTATTAAAAAATAAACGTGTACAACAAAGAAAAACAATATGTGTAAAAATAATGCCTTACCTAAGTAAAATATAGCATAAAGTAATTGATGAACGTTACCTTTACTGTTTTAATTATTTGATTAAAAAAAAATATTTTTAACTTGTATTTCCAGAAAACTAGTTGGATATCTGGAAAAAATTTTATATTAAATTATTAACTTATTTTACTGTAGCTACCATAATGAGTTAAATTTGAAGTCTAATCTAAGAAAACATGATATTTTTCAAATTTTGCATTTTTTGCATGATCGATCGAACTTTTGTGAAGGTTCGGCCGAACCGAACATTCGGCAAAACAGCCAAACATTCAGCGCATCCCTAATATATATATATATATATATATATATATATATATATATATATATATATATATATATATATATATATATATATATATATATATATATATATATATATATATATATATATATATATATATATACATATATGTGTCTATATATATATATATATATATATATATATATATATATATATATATATATATATATATATATATATCAACCCTCAGAATTAGGAATAACAATAAATGACCTAATCCCGACCTTTAACAGTTTGAGGCAGCATTAGGTCAACAAAAAAAATTTGATACAAAGGGGATATATATATATATATATATATATATATATATATATATATATATATATATATATATATATATATATATATATATATATATAGGCCTTGTTTTAAATAAAAAAGTGCTTAATGCATTAGCTTAACGCAATATTTAACGTCATAAAAGTATCTTTATATTTTTTTATAGACGTTAAGTGTTTTAACTACCGCAATAAATAAATAACTGCTAATTAGTTCAATTTAACAATTAACTCAATAACTATAAATGTTTTAAATGTAAATATATTATAAAAAGTTTGTTATGTTTTTAATTGTTATTCTAATATTAATTTTAGTTCAATCTTATTTTGTAAAAAAAAAATATATATATATATTTTAATTATTTCTGAAATTTGTTTTTGAATTATTATTGTTTTTAAATTGTTTTAATGCTTTATTTTTTTTTAAATTTCGGGAGTAAACAAAAAAAATTAACCAAATCCCTTATTAATTATTTAAACAGGGATTTTGTTTTGACTAGCAAAGAATAACTTAGGTTTTTAAGTATTTTTTAATTTTAGGTTGCTTAGCGCTTTAATTTGTGTGGTATAATATAAAAAGGTATTGTGTCTGCTCAGGGCCGGCGCGAGTAGGTATCACATGAGGGGGTGCCAAGACAACTTTTCCGACTAAAAAAAAAAAGTCTTTGTTTTTTAAAATTTGCCAACTGCCTTATCAACATTTGCCGACTGATTCTCTGAATTTACCAACTAACTTGTTGAAAGGGTCAATATTTAACAACTGAATACTCAAAAAAAGTCAAATTTGCCAACTAAACGAACAAAAAAATCATTGATGGACGGGGAGGGGGAAGGTCACCCCCCCCCCCCCCACACACACACACCCATCGCGCCGGCCTTGTGTCTGCTTTGAGCTTATTTTTTAAATGTTATTTAGAACGTGTTTGCCAGGAATTTAATTCATAAATGTTTTACGTTATCGTAAAAATGCTTTACATTGTAAACAAATCACAAAGAAACACAGAGCTATTAAGAAAAATTGTTTTTAACAAATAAGTTTTTTTTTTTTTTTTTTTGAATTTTATGAAATAAAAAAAAAATTAAATTAAATTAAATATAAAAGTCTTAATTATGCAAAATCATTAGATAACTATTTTTAAAACAAAAAACTTTTTTAATACTTCTACGCAATATTTTAATCGTACAAACTTGAAAAAATACTCAAATAAAACAAAATAAGTAAATTTAATCATTTGAATCGTAACTGTTTATAATAAACATTTGTTAAAATTTGTTCATTAAAAATTAGGTTCCTTAACTAATAAACAAACGCAAAAGTATTTTCATTCTATGTATAATTACAAAACTCTTTTTTTTGTTTGTAAGCAATTTAGTTTAGAATAATAGAATAAAAAAAGAATAAATATGAGGTAATCTTTGTTAAAAACAATTTTAATTTATTAATTGAACAATATTTTTGTTTTTATTTATATACCAACTTAAATAAAATATACTAAAATGTTAAAATATTTCAACATGACTTGTGTCATTTATAAACCCTAGGGCAGCTGCCCATACAGCACCATTGGTTTTGGATAATAATTTATTTTGATGAAGATCACATAACTTACATTTGATTTTAATAACAAGTCTTCTCTTTTTTGTGTGATAGTTTCAATTCGAAAAGCATTAGCAAAGTCCCAGGATTTAAAAGTTTTCAAAGTAAATTTTTTGTCCTTCAAAATACAACCCATATTCGAACTTTAAACAATTTGGAGAGAATGGAAATATACTAGGTTTTTATATACTAGTTTGTCTTATTTTATATAGGAAAATAAATAGTCATTAGCAAAGAATAGAGACTGTCATTAAACTAAAACGTGCCTTAGTATTTATTTAATGGAGTCGGTAATGTGCGCGTGTAATTTTTTTTTCTTCTATGCCTGCCCCCTCCCCCCGCATAACTTAAAGGTAAAGGTACCTTTAACTAAGAAGAAAAGCAAAGAGTAATACTTAATGAAGTAGTAATTTTTAGTACAATAAAAATAGATTGTTCATTCATTGGCACATTTTTTTTAATATCTCGAAAATATGTCGATATTTTTGTTATTATGATAACAAAAATATTAAGACATTTTTTTGAGATATTAAAATAAATGTAAATCTTTAACTACAAATTTTTTGCAAATGTTTTTAATAAAAATTCAGTAAAAAACTCTAAAAAAATCTATATTGCAAAAAAACATTTATATTCTGTTAATTTATATTAATAAATTTGGAATATAGATTTTTTTAAAGTTTTTTACTGAAAACTTTAAAAAATTACTACTTTTTATTAAAAAGATTTGAAAAAAATTTGTACTTAAGGATTGACAAACTTTTTTCATGTTGCTAAATATTTAGATAAAAAGTTTAGCGTAAAATTAATTTCTATAAAAAGGTAAGATGAAATTATCGCGATGAAAAGTTACTACAATTATTTTTAACGTAACTTCTTTTTTGTAACAATTATTTTCACATATCTTATTCAAAAGTTAAAGTGGTTTTTTTAAAAATTAATTACTTCTTTTGTTACCGCTAATTTAAAAGTTAAAAAATGATAAAAACTAGTTTAACCAAAACCACTCTATGCGTACGTAAAAATTGCTTAAGGTATACGGAAATCGCTCTAGACATAACGCTTTAAAACAAGACCTATTCATATATATATATATATATATATATATATATATATATATATATATATATATATATATATATATATATATATATATATATATATATATATATATATATATATATATATATATATATATATATATATATATATATATATATATATATATATATATATATATATATATATATATGCATAAAATTGAAAAAAAAAACTTGCATGAGTAGCTTCTTCTTTAGATTGTGTTCCACCATGTTTGTCAGGGTGCCATTTTAAAGCAAGACGCTTGTAACTACTTCTGACTTCATCAGGACTTGATTCTAAAAATTAGTAAATTATTTTTTAAGATAAATAATTGTCTAATAATATTGCTTTATTACATTATTATAATTTTACTGTATAGTTGTCTGAATATGAAATAAACACATATAAAACATTTATTCATATAATACTTTAGATCTATTTATCTATATCTATATCTATCTATCTATCTATATATATATCAGGCCTTGTTACGAGATTTTGCTGCGTAACGGAAAAGCGAAACGTGAATAAATGTAACTTTACTCAATAAAGATATTTACATTGTTAAAAGTTAATTTACGTCAGTTGCGTTTTTACTTCATTGTAATTAAATTTAAAATGACATTAAAAACTATTGTTAATCTTTGAAACAAAATAGCTTTAAATTGAACAATGTTGTTATAAAAAAAAAAATTTCAATGTTGATTAAAAAAAAGTCTTCTTGTATTAAAATCTTATACTTATTTAAACTTAATTTTTTTGCTTTTAAACATTCGTTTTATGATTGTTGTTTTTTTATTTTTTTTTTAAATAATTTTAATTTAACACTTGTTTATGGTTGATTTTCCTAAAGGGATTTTAATGTACTTATAACTAAATGCATAGATTGGGTTTTCCCCTTTTAAAAAAAAACATTTGCACTAACTGGTTTTGATAAAATAAATGTTGTAAAGAAACGAAATTTACTACTTTTTCGGATTTGTTTCCATTAAAATATTTTATTTTTATGTACAGTGAAACCCAATATTTTTTTACTCAAACCAAAAAAAAATATAGTGTTTTCAGTTTTAAGATGTTATAAGCAGAATTTGTTTTTAACAAATATCATTATAATTTTGAAATTTATGTATCTTATATTTAAAGCTCAAGTACTAGTTTTGTTTTTTAAATAAAATAAAGATAAGTTGAATAATGCGCTTTTGTTAAGCGCATTATTCAGACCAGTATTTGGAAATTACCTGAAACTTAACTAAAATTAAAATAAAGTTATATGTAATACGAACATTTTAAAGTAACTTGAATTAAATTTATTAAATCTTTTTTTACTTTGGTAATTTTATCATAAAAAAAACAGAGCATTTTAAAATTAAAAAACTTTAAAATGCTCTGTTTTAAAATTAAATGAAAGAATTTTAATTAAATTTAATAAATTTATTTACTAAAAACTATAATTATTAAAAAAATATTTAAATTTAATAAAATAAATTATAAATATTTCTTTTTTTAAATTTGATTGTTTATAAACTTATGAAATCTAATATTTAAAATTAAATATGATGAAAAGTTTAAACTTAAAACACTTTATTTTCTTTAAGTAATTTTTAAAAACAAAAAAAAAATATTAAACAAATTGTTTCTTTAACAAAAAATCTATTAGTTTACGATTGCGGTTAAATGCTTTTACTTACGACTTTAATACTTCTGAATGAACGTCACATAAACGATATAAAAAGATAATTTAAATATTCTAAAAGATAAAAGTTTTTGCGTAACGCATAACTGCTGAAGGCGTAGGCAAATCGCCGTTTCGCAGGCAAAATGCGAGCTGTGTAACGCTTCTTAACAAGGCCTGATATATATATATATATATATATATATATATATATATATATATATATATATATATATATATATATATATATATATATGTATATATATATATATATATATATATATATACACACAAATAGTATTGCAGACAAAGGTAAGCAATCTGACGTCATACTGAAACAGCCTGCTGCTGGGGGCTTCAGTACATACATCGACTGACAAATAGCCTGACTTGCAGTGGAGTGCTGCTACATCGACTGAGGGTTTGGGATGGGGAAGCAATCGTTTTATTCATCATTCTTCGTATTTTCTTCTTCTTTTTCGAAAAAAACAGTATGGCTTGATGTAAGCAGAAAAAGTGAGCAAATGCTTATCAAAACACGCTTTAGTAAGTGTATATATATATATATATATATATATATATATATATATATATATATATATATATATATATATATATATATATATATATATATATATATATATATATATATATATTTGATTGTGGAAATTGTAGTTGGAAACTTAATAAAAAAGAAAAAAACTTTATCAATGTATTTATTCAGCCTGATACAATCATTCAGAGGGTAGTTTAAGAAAAAAGCTATTAAAGAAAAGAGACTAAACAAAGAAAAAAACAGCTAAGCAAAGTATTCATTATATTGCTCCACAACAGAAATATGGGGTGATATAAAGTCATTCCAAATCATCCTCAACATCAAATCATCATAAATACTCATCAAAAATATTTCAAAATAAAACAAATCCCAATTAAAAAAATGATCAATACCCACCAATATATCAAAAATGTTAACAAAATCATGAAGCTGTCTGAATATGTTGATACCAATCTTATAACATTGTCTAAATGTTTTCACAAATAGTAGTGGCTACAAAGTTAATTTGCCAGATGAAAGAATGTCAAAAACAAATACATTAAAATCAAAACAACCAAAACTAAATAAACACAACATAATAAAAAGTTGCTTAAAGTTTTATCAACTATAAGTTTTTTTGTCTTACTTTATTACTAGTCCAACAATCTTGCTTTCTACCAAGCATGTAAAGCTTTACATGCTTGCTCGAAATAGATAAACATGATGAAAATCAGAAAGGGTTTGCTTCTCGTTTAATGCATCTCATGACTTCAACAATGACTATTTTAAGTGTCATTATTGAAGTAATGAGAGCGTGTCATGCGCAACCAAAATTAGACTGCTCATTAATGCTTTACATTAAGATTTCAATCTTAAAGACATGTCCTATAAAGCCATTGATGAAGATGATACTGTTTGTGGCCAGTGCCCAAGTATGTCTTGATGAGTGTCATTTTATCCGGCCTTTAACATTTTTAACATTGTCACTCTAAAGACATTCTTTTTAGTAGCACATTCAATCTAATAACCTCAGACAAACCAGACCATTTTATAAAAATTACTAGAGCAGATCATCTAAGAAAAATAGTCAAAGAACAAACTCATTGCATGGTACATAGACTCTTGTTCACTACTTCAGGCTGGCGCTGTCAGCTTAAAGCGTTATATGGTCAAACACTTTGATTAGCTTATGCACTTTAATGCCAAAATGTCTAAAAGTAAAATGATTAACATAAGTTATCCAAAAAACCCTTCATTGTATGAGTACTTGATGGAAACCACTGATAGCATTACACACTTGTAACTATAACTATTGAATGTGATTTTAGCAGTTTTGACTGAAATGACCCAAAAGCAAGAGCACAAGTTGAAAAAGCAGCATCCACAGCCAATCGCATGTTAGGAAGCAAAAATGCTTACTATAGCAGAAAGTTAACTTTGTTGTACTCTCTTTATTTAAACTCTATTTAAGGTAATTCAGTCACATCTCAAATTTATCATTCAAGCCTGGTCCCAGTATCATAATTCAGTAATTCAAGATAGTTAAGAACATCAAGTAAATTTTTAAGCTACACAGCACCAACTAATTAGGTGTGGTGTGTACCATACATACATATATTTTGCTTACTTTAATATTTAAAATGCCAACTTAAAACACAGACCTTCATTTACAATAAAAAAATTATTTTTTTTTTCATCATTCTAATAAGTGAAACTTACAAAAAAAAAAATAATACACATTATAAACATATGCATACTATAACTTTATATTCATCATAATGATTATAAGATGTAAGTTATGTAATCTGTAAATTACAAATAGAGATATTGTATATGTTTTAAGTGTGTTTATGTGTGTTTGTGTGTATGTGTGTATTCAAATGTTACATATTTGTGTTTTTATTATAACAAAAAAATATATAGCCATAAAAAATTATAAATAGCCATTCAAACAAAAAGACAATCATCAAAGTTGCAGTTGTTTTTTTTTAAAGTTAATTTTCAAAGTATTTAAATTAAATATGAAGATAGATATAAAGTAAATATAAATATTGCAAATATATATATATATATATATATATATATATATATATATATATATATATATATATATATATATATATATATATATATATATATATATATATATATATATATACATTTGCAATATAATATATAGATTTCTGATGAGTCTTTATTGATGAAACACAGTGTAAAATTTAGTGATTTTCTACTAACTTTTATATATATATATATATATATATATATATATATATATATATATATATATATATATATATATATATATATATATTATATATATATATATATATATATATATATATATATATATATTTATATATATATATATATATATAAATATATATATATATGTATATATATATATATATATATATATATATATATATATATATATATATATATATATATATATATATATATGTATATATATATAGGTAGATAGATAAACAGATAGATATCTATATATCATATCTATATATGTAATAATTATATCTTTTTATAGTCTATAATTGTATCTCATTATTGCTAAACCATTACGATAAATATACAATTACACAATATTTCCATTCTGAGGTCTATGTAACTAACCTTCTTGAACACCGAGAATTCGAAAAGCATCATCTCTAGTTATTTTCATTTTGTGTTATATATGGCAAGAACCTAAATAAAACTATATAGATTTTATTTGTAATTTATAAAAAGCATAAAATCACTCCGCCTCCGACTTCAGAAAACTTCAAGTTCTGCGATGGTAAAAAACAGAACCTAACTCTTAATAATGGAGTATACAATTTTAAAAAAAGATATTGAAAGCAATTGTTGTTGTTTTTTTGTACGCCATGTAGCCCAAGAGGTGTAACTTCCGTTTATTTCTCTTCTTTAACCGGAAAGTTTATGAGGGTGCAAATGTAAAAATCTATTTTTTATTTTTCAAATTTGAATTAAAAAGAAAAACTTTTAATATAGAATAAAGAGTTTACATGTCCCGGCAAAACAAGAGGTGACTATTTTGAACCGGATTATTATTCTAACAGATGAATGACCGACAGCAAGAACAAATAGGTTATGACCCGGTTTCCGCGATTGCTGGTTCTTTAAAACCACCAATCTCTATAACTCTTTAAACTTTAGCTCAAATTTTATTTTTAATTATTTAATACAAATTTTAAAATAAACTTTGGTGTAAAAATTATTATATGCATTTATTTTTCCAAATAACAAGATATGTGTATTTAAAAAGAAATTAAAGAAGATTAAGCATTTTTGGGTATAAATCGCCAAAAGAAATCTTTTCGCAGATTTCCAAAACAGGGCTATTTGGCATCTATTTATGTACATGTAAAAAGTTAATTTAAGTATATTAGTAATAACTTAATAATCGTAATTAGCTTTGTATTTATTATTTCTACTCCAATTAATAATTTTTCTATTATTTTTTTTGAAATATTTTCAAAAAAATAAAAAAATATTACCAAGTAAAAAAAATTTATCAAGTGTTTTAAACTTTGATTTTTCAAGTTTTTCCATGTTTTGGGGCCTTCTGACATTATTAAGAATTCTAGATGGCGGGTTTTAATTTTTTTTTAAAAAAACGAAACTAAACTGTGGTTCTTAAATTGAATGCGGTAGTGGTGTAGTGGTAGAGCGCTCGCTTCATAAACGAGTGGTTCCGAGTTCGATCCCCACCACGTCCCTGGTAATACCGCGCTCAACTCGTTTCCCCGCGCAGCGGCCTTGTTCGTCAAGGTTCGTGTTTCGGAGTTATAGAGTTGAGAAAGGGTTATAGCCACAAATAAGTAGCCTCCTCGTCTGTAGTGGCCGTCTCGGCCTTGAGGAGGTGAATTAAAATAAAAAAAAAAAAAAAAAGAATAGTAGCTCTCAAACTAAAGAGTAGCTTCACAATGGAATTTTTTTTTCATGTGATGATACTATACTTTTTTTTAATTTATTGATATTTTGGTCAGGCAAGACAGGGCTTAATTGGCGTAAATAAATACATTTAATATAGTTCTCCAACAAACACATGAATGTCATTAAACCTTGAAATATCGTTTAGACAAAACCTTTAGTTTTGGTCAATTGTATTAACTCTAATAAAGAATAATTAACCTAAATGTATATATATATATATATATATATATATATATATATATATATATATATATATATATATATATATATATATATATATATATATATATATATATATTATATATATACATATATATCACGGCTGTTTCACTCAATATAAAACCTAAAATGTATATATATATATACAGGACCGGCGCGAGTAGGCGTGACGTGGGGGGTACCATTACAACTTTTGCCGACTTAAAAAAAAAAAAAAAGGTCCTCGTTTTCCGACTGCCATTCCGACATTTGCCGACTGTCTAACCTATATTGAAAGGGTCGACATTTGCAGACTAACTAGTCTAAAAGGGTCCGATTTGCCGACTAAGGGTCCAGTTTGCCAACTAAAAATCATTTATGGGGGAGGGGGGGTCACACCCCCCTATCGCGCCGGCCTTGTATATATTATATATATATGTATATATATATATATATATATATATATATATATATATATATATATATATATATATATATATATATATATATATATATATATATATATATATATATACATAGTCGTTTTGTCAAAGACGCAGAAATGGTTAAGAATGCGACTTCAAAAATCAAGACTTGAAAAATTATTCCGCACCAGTCTTTTTTGGGATTTCCCTGACACTTTTAACGTTTCCGGTTTGACTTCTAAATCAGTCTTTATGCAAGTTGCCACAACTTGCATAAAGACTGAATCGCAACAACAAAATTAGTAAAAATTGTAGTGATTAGGTTGCTCCTAAATCACTACAATTTTTTTTTTCAAGCACTAAACTTTTGCAGCTAGTTATTATATTTTTGACTTTTAATCATCTGACTTTATTTTTGTTTTTGACTTTTAATCATCTGATTTTATTTTTATTTTTGACTTTTAATCATCTGATTTTATTTATATTTTATACTTTATAGGCACTAAATTTTTTGTTACTAACTTTTTTTATAATCAATTTATGATAATTTATGATAATTTATCAACAAAACAGTTTGTTATACACTTTGGTTAATATTTGCGAAAGAATTAAATGTTTACATTGTAAATATTTTATAAAGCTTAAATTTATGGTTTCAATTGTGTTTAGCTCTTAATTTTATAATCTACATTTCACAATTCACACTTAAAATGTTGTAAACTTTAGATTATTTTAAGTGTGCAATGTTCAATGTGCATTATATAATTTAGAGTCACACACAATCGAAGCTATTAATTTTAACGTTGAGCTAATAGAATTATAAACAAATATACTTGAATGACTGTAGTCTGAATAGAAGTATTACTTAAAATTAAAATGATAAAAGTAAAAACCACTGACTAACGTAAACAATTTATTCAGAAGGTCTAATGACAACTCCAGTCAAGTTGTCTTGCGAAACCTGTTGGGGCTGCAAACCACAGTTTGGGAACCGCTGATGTAACTCATTAAACTTTGAAATGTGCAACCTACATTATTTTACTCTTAAACTGTTTATTAGTTTTTTAGGGTAAAAAGTACCGCAATAGGGTGCAGTAATAAGTAACACAATAGTGGTGCAATAAATTTTAAAACTGTATTTAGAAAATTTATTTTTATAAATTAGAAAAAAATATTTTTTAAATTAAAAGGTGAATATATATATATATATATATATATATATATATATATATATATATATATATATATATATAGTTTTATGTCAAGTTTGGCATATGTGACAATCTTTTTACATTATATATTTTTTAATGCACGTTTATTAAGTGTTAATGAAAGGTTTACATTATTGACTATTATAAATCGATATTAAAAAAGTTTCAGCGACACTTAATAAACGTATAATTAAAAGATTTAAATTGTACGCTTCAATCCTTTTAATGTATACGTTTATTAAATGTCTATGAAAACATTAACAAAATTGACAAATAGCCAATATTGTAAACGTTTAATAGACGTTTAATCAACGCAAACATTAAAAAGCTTAAAATGTAGATCCATATCAACCTTCTTTTTGATATTGTCTAACATATAGCTGAAGTAAAAGTTTTCTTTTCCTTAGATTTTCCCAATATACTTTGTTATATTTGAAGTATAAAACTTAAAATAGCTCGAGTAGTTAATTCAATTTGCCTTTGAATCTTAGCTATGATCCTTGTTTATTAAAATTTTATTACTGGATTTATCAAATAATATTTATGGTTTTTTTCTCCATGAAACATTTTGGTCAAAATTACTGTATTCTTCATTTCATTTTCACTGCTCCATAAGAATCCAAAACAAAACTTCCTTGTCAAATACTAAACCATGAGTTTGGTAATTGGGCGATTCTTTTATCTTTTTTAGATGGTTTGTTTTTTCATAACAAATAATATAAAATTTTCAAACCAAAAGGTGGCTTACTTTTTTGCTGCTCTGCCATTGAAAAATGACAAGATTATAGAACCAGGGCTGTGGAGTCGGAGTCGGAGTCGGAGTTGCGGAGTTGCGACAATTTTAGCGAAGTCGGAGTCGGAGTCACTAAAAAATATAGCGACTCCGACTCCTATAGTAAAATTTCTTGGTATTGCACGTGCATGTACAAAACATTTAATTAACCTTATGTTCATGCTAAACTTCGAAGAATGTTTCATAAATTTGTCAAAAAAAAAATTTCAACTTATTGCGCAATATTTTTTAAAGAATTCAAAGAATTTTTCAAAAATTTTGCTTTGGAGTCGGAGTAGGAGTCGAAAAAAAAGAGTGAAGAAATCGGAAACGTCATAAATAAGAAAATTTTTGTTAATTTCCCGATATGATTTTGGTAAAACTTATCGTGGCAATGAAGAACCCGTACAGAAGTTTGCGCATCAAGTAATTTGAGCTCAAAATAGAAAGTTTTTGTTTTCAAAGAGAGACGGTAGACTTCGTGAACAATTTAGTATTTGAAATCAATATAATTTTGCACAATATTCTTTTGTAACACGTGATATGTTAAACTTTGACTATGAAAAAAAACATGAAAATTTAACTGGAAGTTCAGGGCAGTGGCGGATTAAGACTTCTTGGGGCCCGGGGCTATTTTTGTTTTTAGTGGCCTTTTTATTGGCCAGAGCCTAAAAATGGCTAACTAAAAATGACTAACTTCTTTTTATCATTGCAAAAAACTGATTCATAATGGTTCTGTCTGTCGCTCCATTATTCTTAGTTCACTAAATCTCTTATTTTATTTCAGAAGTTAGATTTTTGACTTTATAGAACACTCTGACCCCTCCAACTATTGATCAAACCGCCTATTATTATGCTTGCTTTTTGAACCGTTAATCAACAACTTCTAATATCTCATTATACTAAAACAACTTCTCTCTGAAAATCAATATAGCTTTGATCATCACGTTTTACTGCCAACTTTTTAATGGCATAACAAAAAAATTAATTAAATGTTGCAAGACCTATTTCTCTAAACCTTTTAATAACTTTTGATAAAGTTTGGCAAGCTTGTCTTACCTGTAATTTTTCTTCTTATTGTGTATCTGGAAAAATTTTAAAATCATTGAATCTTTTATTCTAACCGTACTATTAATTTTTTGTCGTTGAAGGACAACATTGTTATTTATCTTCAGTAACTTCTGGGGTACCACAAGGTTCTATCGTTTGTCCAGTTTTTTTCTTCTTTCATCAATAATAA